CATCATGACTATACTAGAAGACACAGTGAGGTCTCACTTGGGACTCTGCAAGAAGTATGGTCTGAAAGCGTTCCCGCGCTTTCGAAGCCATTCTGTTTAAAAGGTCGTGGCGAATGAGAATGTTGAGATCCAAGTCGATACGGGAGTAAGAACTGCAATCAGAATAAAAATGGATCGGCCGGATATCATGATACACGATAAGAAGCGACGTGAAGCAATCCTGACTGAGGTTGGTACCACTAGTCAGGACAGGTTGACAGCAGTCGAGACCGAGAAAAAGCGAAAATATGACCTGCTTGCTCGGGTCAGAGATGAAATGCAGGACCAAAATAATTTCATATGTGATGATGACTTAGGATGGGATTGTCACGAACTTGCACAAACGCTATGCGAAATAGATAATATATCAGACCACGTCAGGCATACACTCAATCGATAGTTCTCAAGAAGGCGCTCGAAAGCATCTCATTATATAATCGCTGTGGATTTCACGAGGACGAAGCATCGGAGATCAACACAGCAAATCTGAGCGCGGAGCGAGTGCAGTGAGAAAAGGCAGAATACGATCCAGCGCCAGAATCAATAATACAGAAGAGAAAATGACTTTCACGTGATATGGATTTATATATATTATTGTTGATGAGAGTTATATTTTGATGAGAATTTGGTGCAGTGGAGTATTTGCTAAAAATAAATCAAAATATGTACAATTAGAAATTCATAATCAGAATACTTGATTAAATTCTCAAAAACAATTGTCAACCAATTTGTTGAAATTAGTGTTTTTTTATTGCAGTTAAGTTTTAAAAGTCTTAGAAAAAGAGAAGATTGTAGAAAACTGATAACTATTAAATAGCTGAAACCTCAGATTGCACCACAGACAGAAGGATTTCTCTGCTCAGTCCCTGTGCTGCCAAAATTTCTTTCAGCGGCGGCACACAAAATTCCAACTCAATGTTGTTGTGGATTCCACGCGAAAGGCCTTCTTCACAGTCAATACTTTTTCCGTTTTTAAGTAACTGAGCGCTCACACCAGTTGCTGCTCCCAATGATTTGCAAACATTACAGTATAAACTGCAACAGAAGAAAGCTATAGAATGAATTATACTAAAGTTACAAGAAATGCATTGGAAGTTTCAATAGTCACTAGAAACACTGTATAGACAAATTACCTTCGATGTACTGGGATGACCTGTGCTTGAATTGAAAAATCAAGTTTGTTTTAGGAACATATAAAGATTTACCTCTGAACTCTATTTTGCGGGACGAAGCATCCTATTATTATTGTGATATTTATTTTGCAGTTTTTGTTATTAAATAGACAGTTCAGAGTGCATGAATTTTAGCGTCAGAAACAATAAAATTCTATTGCTTACTGAAACTTAAATCATAATTTTTATTACAAACAATTTGTGCTGAAGTAAGGTTTTTTGCATGTTATACTGTGTGTCCTCAAGTTTCTGAGCATTTCAGGCAACGGATATAATCCATGTAAAACTGATTAATACTAACCAAGATCCGAATCCGCCGCATCCATTAGAACGCTGATTAATGCAAGGCTCCGCCGGCTAAAACAGACGTTAACAGTTTTCTTATTTATTGTCCAAATTTCAAATACTTATTCATTTCAAAATCTCAATTAATGTAATAACTTTAAAAACTAGATATACATAAGTATGAAGTCATAGCACTGATTTCAATGTTTCATTGTCCCATAAAGCTTTTAGCAGATATTAAACTATTTTTTAATTGATTATATTCACAATTTCTTGACATTAGAATTAGAATTAGGATTTAATTGAATGATTAGAATATAGAAAATTAAGAACAATAAGAAAATTGTGTGCATAGCATTTGTGTATATTAAACTTTAAACATTGAGTTATTGTTCTTCTCAGGAGTCTACGCTTAATCACTTGAAACTCATTGATTAAAAAAACTTCGAACCTTAATCTTCTATTATTTCTTGCCACTAAGATTATTTGATATCGATATTTCTTGTAATTATATCAATTGATGAGTAAAACTTGTGTAACTTTTTTTTTAAATTACAATATTTTACTAATTTTTATTTCATTTTTTTTTCATGTATTATGCTGAAACTTATAGCTTTTCATTCAAATCAAGAATAAAGTTAGTCACCGAGAGAGGGATTTAGAGCAATCAAATTATATATGCTAATGGACAAACTGAATACCCACACAGTTTTTGCGAAGACTTAATTTTGATTTGAATCAGCCAAAAAGATGTACAAAATTTTAATACCAAATCGATGTAAATTTCAAACAACATTTTAAGTACTGTTTGAATAAATGAAATCTAGTTATACTTAAGGCGAATACAGTTAGCAAAAATTAGCATTATTATTGAAACCTAATCTGCAACAGTTTTTTGAACGTTTGGGCTTTTAAATGTTTGCTGAATTAATGGTAAGTTTGCTGAAACTGAAATGATTCGAAAGAATTGTAGTTAAAAATGTGATAAAATCTAAGAATTCCACTGCTTTCACTGGTAGATGGGCTGTGGAATTCTTCAAAGTTTGCTTTCATTAAAGTTAAGGACTTATTTCAAGTACAGATGTTTTTTCTCCATCATTTATTTTGTAAAAAATTAGGTAAGATCTAATTATAAGTAATAATTTTAAAACACTATTTCAAAAAAATATTTATTTAGTCCTAAACTAATTTCAAAATTAATAAACCTTAGTTCGTTATAGTAAGTCTAATCATCCGTAATCTTTTCTATATTTTTCGACTTGCTTAAGAAACTTGCTCCATTGCTCTTTCATGCCATGAAATGAAACTCAAAATGCGAATAACAAAATCCAATTTGCCACAAATTTGTCAACAGAGATAAGCTGGTTGCTCGTAGTTTTAGAAGAACTTAATAATTATATTTTTATTACTGAAAATGTAAGAAATAACTGCTCGTTGATAATCTTGTAAGAGAAGGTGACTGACTCGTTTTCTACTAGCACTCCTTCGCAATTCGACATAGATACTGAAGTCACCTTTGAAATCTTGAGTAACATTTACTTGACCTCCGATGGCATAGCAACCAGGTTTTCCAGGTTGTGCTTTCAACTTTGGACCATTTTCTTTATTGCCCTTTTCAAATACTAAAGAACGATTCCATTTTGAAACACCTAAAAATATTACAGAATCACTGTAATGCATGTGCATTAACATGTCGCAATCATCAAACTGAAGTATGATAATGATTTGTAATTTTACAATACCAACACTTGTTCTAGCAAAAAGATTTATTTTGGGCTTACATTTTTTAATTGTAATTATTAGTTCTCATAATAATCATTAATTCTTTCTGCAATCTCACTTTTCTTTGTTTCACAGATTTCACAAAAATTGACTCAACTTTGGAGATCAGATTTAAATTTAAATTCTTTTTGATACTACATCATACCATATCAGAAAAAAAGATTACAAATATGACCTATTAACTCAACTTGTCTTTTCGGTTTTTTAAAACTGTTATTTGAAATAAACAAAAACAGCAAATGTAAATAACCATTTTTATAAGGGCACGAAGCATGTTTTACCAGTTCTACGTTAAATTCCACATTGTCGTTGGTATCCATTACATTCAAGGACACCATCACATCAGTAAAATTACCGGCCATGATTAATAACAGCAATGTGTAATATTCTCCCATAATTATTCTGTAAGTGAATGATTGTTTGAAAATAGTGTTACTCTAGTTGAAAATTGGTACTGGTAAGAGAAGTTTGGAAGACAACACTATCTTTACCGAACTTTTACGTAAAAGTAGTCGAAATAGTACATTTTTTCTGCTACTAAAATGATGTAGTAATTAGAAAATTTCCAATCTGTAATGAAATTAATCATATTTAAGTGTAATAATTAACTCAAAAATAATTTTAACATTAACAATAATTGAAACGTATGACAAGCAGCTGATTTTATAATCACAATCATATTAATCTCAAACAATTTGGAGAGTAATAATAATAATGTTAGTGATAATAATAATAATAATAATAATAATAATAAAAGTGACTGATTTCCAAATTACAACCACAGTAGCAGGAATTAGTCAAATAATAAATGCACAAAATATGATTGAAAAAAGAAAATAAATATAAGTGTGAATGAATATTTATTTCAAAAGAAGACTAATGAGTATTATTAATTCGGCCGAGCAGCAAATAAATATACACATGTAAATATATAATCAACAAAAGGTGATTTCAAGAACTTGAAGGGATGAGAATATATTCCATATAAGGAAATCAAGTTCTCACACAAAACAACTTCATCTCGTCCTGATCGAAAAGCATTCTAGCGCTCTATTCTCGATAATTATATCATTTACTCAACAAAAATGTCTTAATTTCCTCTCGTGCGATTCAGATGTCTCTACCATTTCCTTTATCTGAAAGTAGAACAGACTTGTTGTCAAGCGTGCTTAGGAAAGTGCTCAGTTGTCGAGTATGTGAGCATTCTGAGCATATCCATTAATAAATATAAAGTTAAAATATAAAGCTATCATAAATGTTTAAGCAATAAAAACATTTTGAAAAAGCTATTGAACAGTCAATCTCTACTGTATATATTTGTGGGCAGCAAATTAGTACTGCACCACATACTGAATACGGTAACAAGAATAAAAATGAGACTGATGCATTCTATTAGTGTGAATTTACTGAATTATTTTGAATATTTCTGTTTGTCAGCACTACTTTACTACTTGTAACCATGAAAAATTATTTTTTGGGAAAACTTCTCATCATATAATTGAAAACAACAGAAAATAGACAAGAAAGAGATTAAATTCAAATTGTGAATAGAATCTCTCGTTCCTTCTTCCTACTGAATTCCTTTAAGCAAAGTTTACAATCACTTTTGAACACGTAAGCCTTTTGTTTAATGTAAATTTATTTTTGCTTTCTAATATTATTAATTTGAGCTCTGCAAATAAATCATCTTAATTAAACATATTAATATGTCATTCAATAAAAATAACATCATTTTCAATATGTCTCATGGACTTACTTCACTGCAAAACTATATTATACAGATCTCATGTGATGAAAGACAACCACTACTTACAGTTATTTTATACCTATTATAAAATTTTGCATCTGAACAAGTCTTAGTAACGAGTTTAACATTTTTTAGCCCAGTACAATCTCAAACACCTTTTTATAATTGAATATCATTATAGACAACACGTCCTGATCTGTATTCACTGATACTCTTTCATTTGTTCACGTTGTTGTACAACTTAGCTGTTATTTCTCCACTAGCAAAACGCTCAAGACAATGGCATAATTGAATGTCCAGGCAAATCCTCACAAACTCATCAGATTCATACAGTCCGAAAAATAAATCTGATAAAATTCAGCACCTTTTATCTGTTTCTTGACTGACAGATATGCCACGAGTGTAATTAGCTTTGGCCTCATGTAATACGCATAATAGAATAAATGAAATATTTAATACCAATAAGCATGCAGCGTTCACACAAATACCCATCAAATACTAACAACTGTGGAGTGGAGTTCATAAAAGAAATATTTTCATTAAATTATTTGAAAAAAGAGAACGAAGATGACGAGGAAACAATTGATTATATATGTACAAAGTTTGAAACTGATGAAAGACACGCACATATATATATTATAACACAAACATATAAGCGCATCCTGAAAATGTTTACTTTATATATAAAATTAAAAATTAGCAAAAGGTATAAAATGAAATTCTGCAAATTAATTAAAATGTAAGAGCATCAATTTTCACATCAATTCCCAGCAGAAAGCATGCCATTGTACTTTGTGCCATTCGCCTTCGTAGTAATGCCTTGCCGAACTCAGAGATGTATGATTCTTTGCGATGTTGCTCGAGATCCATCAAGTAAATTGTTATGAACATTGAAATCTAGAATCAATTTTGTGTCGAATTCAGAAAAATGTATAGTGTATTAAACAGATTGTAGCAGTCAGTATTTTTAAGAATAAAATCTTGGCATTATTTGATAAAAAAGCAAAGCCAAAATATTTTAAACTCCTTTAAATCTGCCACTATTAAAGATGATACAGTCAAGATCATTACTATCAGTGTGTATATCACCAACACAAAAATAACATTCTAATTTTCGATCAATGTCAAAATGACTGTTCTTATTTACTTTTGTTGAATTTATTCATTAAAGAACTTGGATGAAATTGGGGCAAACAATAAAAAAAAACAGCTTCGAACTTATGTTTCAAATAATGCTTAAAAAGTGAATCATTGTAACAACATTGCATCTCCTGAAGTTACGATAGTTAATGCACTTTAATGTTTAGCAAAGTCCAGAATTCTATTAATAATATAAGGAACACTTGGAAATGACATGGTCTCACGTAAAAATGGAAAAATAATTATGCAAAATCACTCTTTACCGGTCGCTTTTCAACAATATTCCTTTGTATTTCAGATGGTATATAATCCTTAACATCATCTAATTCAGGCGTGCACATTTCTGTTTCGATATCATAAAACCCCGGTTGCATCACCTGAAGTTACGATAGTTATTGCAGCTTTAATGTTTAACAAAGTCCACGATTCCATTTATAATATTTTTTAAATATTCTGCCAACTTTACAATATTTGCAACTATCTCTCATCAGCTATTTGCTATTTTGTTACACTTGTGCCATAAGACTCTCCAAAAATTACCTTTTTAGTTAGCATATCCAAAAGAATATTGTAAAATAATAACTCTCAGATGAGTGATATATCAAAAATACGCAAACTATGATAAAAGGATAATTTCTCATTGATTATGAATAATAATAATGTTTGACCAATCTCTGATTCAATAAATGTTAAATATCACCTAATATATCAACTGAAGTATAGTGAAGAAAATTTATCAGCAGTGAGATGACTTCCAAATGCTGATAAATTTTGCTGAAAAAAGTTGCAGAATCCTTTCTACATTTGAAATATATATGACCATTTCTTAGTTATACTGTTTTTATATTGACAATATAGTAAAATTACACCAAAAGATTCAATAAAATCTTTTGGCTACTAATACAAGAGACGAAAAGCTGATTTTACTTTGCACAGTAAAGAATATCTTTATTCGAATGTGAATATGCTTGCTTGGCTTCAAAGGATTTATTCTGCATCAAAATCAAAGTTTTTTATGAAATATTCAAAAATTCGTTATGAAGTAATACTCAAAAGTGAATAGGGAATGTTATTCATTGTACAGAATAAGCTGATTCTGTTCAATGAAATTAGAGGATTTTATTGATTTCTAAGGTTATCAAGAAAATGATATCGTTCTCCCACCGTAATATTATAGTTGATGCATTAGAATTGCTAAAATAACACTAAAGTTTAGCTAAAAACATTTTGATTGATCGCACTGAAAGTAATGTATAGCTCGAAATTCTTCTTTTGATTAGAACTGCATAAGAAAGAAAGTAATTCCGGCATTCTGGCTATACTTGTCCGCGTTCAGATTTGCTGTGCTCATTGTTTTCGCTTCGTCCTCGTGAAACCCACAACGAGTGCTTTCGAGCGTCTTCTTCTTGATAAATATCTGTTCTATGTATTCCTCTACGGTATCTACAAGAACATTATGTAGTTGAAGAAGCATAAGCTCGCTCTTCTGCTCAACATTATGAAGTCCACATCCTGGCTCGTCCCTTGGCAGGTGCATCCTTTCCAAGCATGCAGTTGCTTGTGAATTCCGTATTTGATTAGTAACTGTCTGATATCGTGGTCTATAGCCTTGAAGTCTTCCGACCCCAGCTTGAGCACCCTGACGTAATAATTTATTAGGCTTATGGAGTGCTCATTCACAGCGTTGATAAAGTGCAGTTTTGGCTAACCACTCAATTCTCACTAAAATCTCTGCTTGGACTTTATCGTAGCTTTCACGGGTAGGTGTACTAGTCCTGTCTTGCACTATTCTAAGGTGTTTGTACCCTTCAGTTTCTTCCAATAGCGCCACTTTATCAGCGCATACCTCGGTATTAGTGGCTGATTTTGCTGAATTTACATCCAGTCCTACCACATCAAGAAACCTTCCAACTTCTTATGCCATAGATTTCATGATATCCTCCTCATCGGTCGCAAAGATCTTGAGATCATCCGGAAATAACAGATGATTCGTAATGTGCATTCCTTGATCAGTTGGAATCACCACCTTTGGGTACCTTATATTGAGTCGACGGCTCAACGGGTCCATGCACAGGACGAATAGCAGCGGAGAAAAGCTGTCACCTTGGAGAATTCCTCGTCCTATTTTCTTCTCCATTATAGTTTCTCCATTGCTTTCCAATATAACCGAACACCTGCTGATCCGCGATGGTATGTTAAGCCTTTCAATGCACTTAATCAGAATCTTGGTTTGAATCATGTATATAAGACAAAGCACTAACACTTGAGATACAAATAAAGCAAACCTCGCATTTACATTCATCGTCAATTCTTTTGCGCATTGTCCTGCTCTGAGATAAGGTGAAACGTGTTGTCTGATTGCGCATCTGCTTGCAGAAATCGCAAAATACGCTTAAAAAAATGAATACCTTAAAAGTTAATAAGAGTGTTTGGATAGTTAAAAGCAATAAATAATAAGAAAAAATTAAAATTTTTACTTCAACTGATTATTTAATTTTTTTTTTTTGGAATACAAAACCAGAAACATCTAAAAATTGATAAAACTGAAATTATCTGTTTGATCATTACTGTTACTGTAAACCGACACCACATTTTGCATTAACCGAAAATACGTTGCAGTACAAACTAGAAATGCGGAATAGGCGAAGCCAATTCTCTGTAGTAAAGGTAAAATTAAGAATTATTTAACAAGGACCAGGTATTTTCCAATTTTGCACATGGGCACTGATTAACTTTTTCGTCTACTTTCTTAGAACAAGGTAAAGCCGTATGATTAGGATCTGGTGTACCACCAATTCGCATTTCAATCTCAGCGACCAAATTTTCCACCGGTCTTACAACTTCCACACCAACTGCTTTGATTTTGATACATCCCGGAACAATCGGATTTCTGGGTGTTAACATGATCTGATCAGGACTGAACCGGATGGCTGGTCGATATTTACTTGGATCAATTCCTCTTCTTGACAAATAGACTAAAACAAAAAAAATGAGCTTCCGAGTTATTTTAACTTCTGCTACTTGGAATACTTAACATATTGTATAATATTATTCTTCTTCCACTCATTGCTATGTATTTAGGATAGCAGAATGACCCACAACTGACGTTATAAAATCGACGAACTATAATTTCAAACACAAAATGTAAATAAACGTTTGCGTTTTTTTGTTTCGGTGTAAATAACGCTGCAGCGATAACTTAGTTCCAATTCCAAAGTATTTGATACAGATATCTTTCACATCAATCATTACTAAAAATGTCACAGAAAGACATGAGTTTTTGTGTGCAAAGAACTGTAAGAACTAGAAGTCTCATCAAATATTTCAAGTTGTTATTACTGTTACTGCGGAGAAAATTTACATGTGGTACTCTACTGCTAAGTAGAAACCGGTTTATATTCTTTGTGATGAAGTGCAAGAATTTCAGCAAACGGGACTAATAATCACACATTTTTTAAATTTATCAATTTCATCAATTAAAAAAAAATACCTTTGCGTACGTAATAGTGTAGGGCCTACTTTGTACAGTAAGGGAGAGGAAGTAGGAGCGATTTACCTTACATCTATTTAACAAAAAAATAATTAAAATGTAAAACTTAATTGAATATGTCAAGTATATACGATAAGCAATTTATGGAATTTTGAAAGATTCTGATGTTTTTTCGTTGGAAAAATCACCTTATATATATAATTGCTATGACGTAACGAGAAAATAAAAATATGCATAGATAATTAGGTAATACAAACATAAAAGATAATAATTATAACTGCCGTTCTAACTCATCTCCAGAAGAAATCTATATGCTAAATAAAACAATCAAGAAGGGAATTCCATATAAAGTTTTAATTACTGCTACCCTTACTGTCACAACATCCAACTCAACAGGTCATATTATTCAATTTAGTTAACCCTTGGAATAGGTAGTACTGTACTTAAATCCTGTTAGTGCCACATAATTAATTCCCACATTGCCCCATCAACAAATTAATTGGTGTTTGAATGAATTCATGAAAGCTTGGTGACCAATAGAAGACATCGGATAATTCAGTTGAATCAATGATTCCCCTTGACCAATTCAGAGCTATCAACTTTGAAAGAAAATATTTAATGAAAAGCTAGCTACTTATACAACAACTACACTGCCGACAGAAATTTATGAAAAAAGACATGTACTTTAACTTGAGCAGTTGGAATGAACGCATTAAAATTAAAATAAATTATTTGCATGGAAAATTGATTCGTTTACTAATTCTCTCTACTCAAAATAGAGCAAATATTTTATGGACAATACGAAGATGATGATAATGGTTGGGCATAAAATACATAGAAAATTCTCACTTGAACTACAAGCGCCAGAAACCTTGACATCAACCTTGGCTTGATCTTGTTGACCAAAGACAAGACTAATCGGTAACAGTACAGATAAGATCGCCAACAAAGACATTAATGCTGCTTGATATCGCATAATTCAACAGCAATGAGCGTTCGTTGCAGTTGTTGCGCGGGCGGTTTGTTGAGAAAATCTTCACCACAAGAACATATCAGCCACCTCGTTTGAGCAGAAGTAAAACACTATCAAAACTAACCTTTTGCAGCGACAGTGAAAAGAATGCTGTTGTTTCTGTTGATGGTAATGATATTAGTGATGACGCGATGTTAACGATGATACTACATACACACAGTTGATGATGATCAAACTACGGCGGAAACAAATGACTCTCAATCATCATGTTGACCTGTCTCAACAACCGTCATGTTAACTAACCATCCAGTCGACGTATCCAATCTTCCTTCTACATCTGAACCGGCACACGTAATTCACTCATTCATACCTAAATGAAGAATTGATCTTGTGTCTGCATCTTTCTTACACTTCCATATTTGATCACATTTGTCACTGCTGATCTCATGCTCAATCACGATCCACAAATCCGCCTCTGCGGTTCTCTATTTATCACTAAAATCCATGAACCAGTCCTTACAAAACCTGCTTATCCATTTCTTTCGTTGAGTATAAATACAAATCTCCACATCTCAACTATTAAAACACCGTGCTACCCTGTAACTGTTAGTAAATGCAACCAAAAAAACACTAATGAATAAACGCCTTTCCTCCACTCAATTTCAGATTCGCTTAGTACTGTCAATAAGTCCTTTACACCACGCGCTCACTCCAAGCTTTAGATAGAATCTTACTCTTTGTCCCGAATACTAACAATTGCGTTGTCATGGGTCACCTATTATAAATAAACACAAACGGACTCCCACCATGGTAATAAGAACAGGTTTAAATTTTAACCCAAATGGTATTATTGACAAGTTCTACAATATTTTGAAATACCATTGAGAACTCATCGACTGTTTGCAAAATCTTAAGCAAAAAGAATACAATTTTTCTGGAGTGATGATTTGAGAGGACTCATTTTATCTTCTGGAATTCAGTTGTCGCTAATGCATCCATCCTGACGACAGAAAGCGGCAATTTAACATGTATGCTTAAGTATAAAAATTTAATCAGCATATCTATGACATAAAAGCAAGCCATAACTATATATGAAAGTAATCACTGCTATGATAAGAACTCTCTGGAATTCAAAACTTGGTTAGGAAATAACTAAATTCCGAAATTTAACCATTTCATTAAACAAGATTGGGAGAAAAGCCTTATAGTCCATTTTAAATTTCTATATTTCCTGATAACAATTTTTCCTAGTCAAATATATGAAGACGAAAAAATGATCATAGAAACCACCACAATACAAAACAGGAAAAATAATACATACAAAAAAACTATAGTACGAAAAGTCATAGAATCATAACTATTGTTAAAAAATGCTGGAAAGAAAAATGGCAAAATCCATAAGAGAATCTATTATTAAATTTCTAACAAAGCATAAATCAGGGACTTTTCGTGAAAATATAAATAATACTAAAGTTTGATTACAGATCTTTTTCTATGCGACACATCTCAATCCGATGCAATAATAAAAGACTCGGTT